GTCCTTCGAGGTAGCTTCTACCGCAAGGAGGAACTTGCCCAGAAACCCTAAACCCCAAGCCCCTAAACCCTAAACCCTAAACCCTAAACCCCTAAACCCCTAAACCCCTAAACCCCTAAACCCTAATCCTAAGCCCAAAAGCCCTAAACCCTAAACCCTAAACCCTGAGGAACTTGCCCAGCTTACATCAAGATGCCTTCGAGCTTCACCCCCCCATAGAAGCCCAGAAGCCCCTACACAACCATCGAAGGAGTTCTCAAAGAGACCGTAAACCCCAAACCCCAAGCTTTACAGGAACTCGTTCAGGTGAACCCTAAACCCTCAAAAGAACCCTTTAAAGTGAAACCCCAAACCTCAAAAGGAACCCTTTTGAGTGACCCTTCAACCCTAAGCGCTTCCAAGGAACCCTAAACCCAGAAAGCCCAATGACCCCTAGTCAAGGAAAATACCTTAAACCATAATGTGAAGCCACTTTTTTTCTCGGTATATTCCTTTGTTGTCATTATTATGATTGTTATTATCATTATTATAATTGTTTCTATTATTATTATTATTGTTATTATAAGGTATACTCTAAACCCTAAACCCTAAACCCTAAACCTTTACTAAGGGGGTATTGGGGCTCTCTGCTCAGGCACCTCTACCGCCTGGAGCTGTGGGAGGCCTGTCAAGATAACTTCGAGTCCGTGGCTGTGAACGGCCTCTTTGCCGCAGTGTAGGGTTTAGGGTTTAGGGTTGTATGGGTTCTAGAGGGCTTGGCGCTAGGATGAGTAAATACCAATACTGTTCCCTTGGGCGCCTTAATGCAAGCGAGCAACAATTTATCCCAGCACCCTACTCTGGTTTTTTTGGGCTCCTACACTACAGCTGATCGAAGCCATGGCCCCTGCTCGGTCGCGACTCTCATGCCGCAACAGCTGAAGGGAGTCTGTAACAGCATCGCATGGGGCTTCCCTTACCCTAAATCCTAAATCCCTAAACCCAAGACCCCAAAATCCCAAAACCCCCAAACCCCAAAACCCCTAAAACCCCTAAAACCCCTAAAACCCCAAAAACCCCCAAACCCCCCAAACTTCCAAACTCCAACCCTGACCGCTGAAGCACAACGCCTCAACCAAGCTCAGCCTTGACAATTTCAAGCCCTTCACCATCGCAATCATTGGGGGTTTAGAGTCTAGGGTCTAGGGTCTTGTGGGGTTTAGGGTTTAGGGTTTTTAAGGGCTTACAGTTACAGGGTACGGGGTTGGGGGTTTAGAGTTTAGTGGCTTAAGTTGAGGGGTTTAGGGTTTGGAATTTAGGGTTTAGGGGTTTAGGGGTCTATTGGGGGAGATGAAGGTCGCATCTACGTTATCGATGGCAACACGCGCCTCAAGGCAAGGCTCAGTTTGGCTTCTTTGCGGGGTGCTGTTCAAAGGGCTTGGGGTTCAAGTTTTAGGTGTGTACCAGAGCATGAGCAAGATTCAGATATTATGACGAAATGTCACGTCAGATAAATGGGACCTTTATCCAAAAGGCCTCCGTGGCTTTTGGGTACATCCATGTCGCCGCAGAAAGAAAACAATGATATTTCACAGTATATAACAGTTTATTTTATAGTTTCTTATATAGTACATTATAGCTGTCTATGAGGAGATGAGCGGGAGAGTGAAAGTTCGTTGTTGTTTTTTTTCTTGCTGCTTTCACGTACGAAACCTACCTTCAAGTTTCAGCAAGTCTCTGGTGAAGTGAGTGGCAACCTTAGGAGCAAGATTCCCGACTACAGCTGTACTAGTCCAAGTTCAAGAAGCCATGAGCGATGGGCAAACAAGCTACACGCCCTGCGACCTCGGTGAAGGCCGCACATGTTCGGCGCTGCCATCAGAGCTTGCTGACGAAGTTGGCCGCTCGTTTGCATGAGAACAGGTAGAAGCTTCCCTCACACGCGCCACATTTTAGGGTTCCTAAACCCTAAACTGCCCTAAACCCTAAACCACACTCCAACATGTGTGCAGGTGATCCGACGCTTCGCAGAAGGCTTCTATAATCGACCGGGGGAGCACCGGGTTCAACATGCAGGGTTTAGCTTTCAATCAGAGTTCAGAGTTCAGGGTATAAGACTTAGGGTACAGGGTTTAGGGTTCAGAGTTCAGGGTTTAAGACTAAGGGTTTAGGGTGTAGGGTTCAGAGTTCAGGGTCCAAGACTTAGGGTTTAGGGTTCAGGGTTTAAGATTTAGCGTGTGTTTGAGCATGAGCCGCAAACCCTACGAGCTTCCTCCAACCGGCGGGCCTACTAAGGGAGACTGGCGGCCCTCCGGCAGTCAGCCGCTGCTTCTGGGCATGGTTTAGGGTTTAGGGCTTAGGGCTTAGGGCTTAGGGTTTAGGGCTTAGGGTTTATGGTTTAGGGCTTAGGGTTTAGGGTTTGCAGTTTTAGGGTGGATAGTGTTTTTTCCAGATCTGCCAGTTGCTTGCGTGCATGACTGCGTGTACTGTTTTGTATGCGCGTAGGTACAATATGAATAACCTCGAGGCCAACGATGGTGATGAGGAGGATGATGATGACGATGAAAATCCGAAGTAATTAATCCCTTGAGCCTAAACCCTCGATCTTGAACCTTGAACCTTCATACTAGGGCGCTCTTAAGTAAGAGGTGTTGGAGCCCCTGGGGCAATAGTAAGGTCAGTCCACTTACTTGTAAGGCATTATAACCCATTAAAAGCCCACCCAAAGCCCCAAGGCCCAGTAAACTCACATCCTGAAGCTCAAGACCCCTACACCCTAAAGCCTTAAACCCTAAACCCTGAACCCTAAACCCTAAACCCCAAACCCCTAACCCCAAACCCCTAAACCCTAAACCCCGCAAATCCTGCTAAGTCCCTTGACCCTTTCGGCTGCATGAGGCTTGATCAGCTGCCGCCCTTGCTCAGCCGCTTCGACCAAGCATGGACTGACTTCGAGGCGACTTTGGGGCTTCATGGGCATAGGATGTAGGGTTTAGGGACTTAGGGTTTAGGGTTTAGGGTTTAGGGCTTCACCCAGAGAGCCCAATACCCCTTAATGAAGGAATATACCTTAAATCATAATACTAAGCCCTGTATAATTCAAGGTATATTCCTTAATTAAGGGGTCTTGGGCTCTTTGGGCATGGACTTAGGATGTAGGTTTTAGGGTTTAGGGGTTTAGGGTTAGGATTTTGGGGCTTAGGGTGTATGCACTGGTCTATGCGTGCTTAAGGTGGATTTTAGGCTTTTGAGCCCTGAAGCCTAAATACATCTCAATATTGGGTTTAGGGCTTAGGGCCTGGCATAAGCGTTTAGGGTTTTGTGCCCTGAGCCCTAAATAACATCTAAGTACTAAACCCTAAAGCCCTAAACCCGAAACCCCAGTCCTGTGGCCGAGGGCCCTTTCCTCTGAAGGTGGTTGGTGGAAATACTATGGAATCCTAAATCACCCAAGTTATTTTTTGGGGCGCCTTACTATGGTTGTACTAGCCCAAAACCTACTCTAAAATTTAAGGCCCATAAAAACAACCTATAGCTCTAGGCACCTTACTCGAAGCTGCAAAGAGCCCTGCAAAAACCTTTAAGTATAATTTTAAAGTTAGGGTTTAGGGTTTAGGGTTTTGGGTTTAGGGGTTTAGGGTTTAGGGTAGGAGCCCTTCAAACCCTTCAAGACTCCACAAAAAACCTTTTCATAAGACTCCCTACACTTGAAGTATAGTGTAAGCCATAAAGTTGGAACATCAGAATCCTCGTGCCCTTAAGGCCCTATACCACACCCTTACAGAACCCTAAACCCTAAACCCTAAATTCCAAGCCCTAAACCCTAAGCCCTAAACCCCAAAACCCTAAGCCCTAATTCCCAAAACCCTAAGCCCTACACCCTAAACCCAAAACCCCAAAACCCTAAGCCCTAAGCCCTAATTCCCAAAACCCTAAGCCCTACACCCTAAACCCTAAACCCTAAGCCCTAAGCCCTAATTCCCAAAGCCCTAAGCCCTAGACTTTCAGGGGAGCTACGTGGCCGAGCTGATGCGGATCGAGGTCGAGGCTAGGAGGCCTATGGAAAGGGCAGCACCTCGGCAGAGATCTTAGGAGCCGAGAGCCCGATACCCCTTCATTAAGGAATGAACAGGGTTCCTTTAAGGGTTCCTTTAACGGCTCCTTTACAGGTTTTTTTAGGGTTTTAATACCCCTTAGTTAAGGAACATACCTTGAATTATAAAGGGGCTTGATGTTATGATTTAAGGTATATTCCTTAATTAAGGTGGTAAGGGGCTCTCTGGGTTAGGGTGCAGGGGTTTAGGATTTAGGGGGTTTCTAGGGATTTTGGATTTGGGGTTCAAGGCTGAGGGTTGAGCTTTTGTAGTGTTTCATTAGGGTCCTAAATCGGGTTCTAGAGGGTATTCGTGATTTTTACATTATGGAGGAACCTAGAAGCAGGGTTCATTTTATGGTGTAAAGAAGTAGAGACGAATGTCAGTTCCAATTGGCACCACTAGCCCGGCGATCAGCCAAACGAGGTGAACCCTAAGCCCTGAAACCCTAAATCCTGAACCCTGAAACACCAGCCCTTTCTTTGAAAGCACTCAAAACCTCTAAACCTAAACCTAAACCCGAAACCTTAAACTCCAAAAGCCTTAAACCCTAAACCCCTAACCCCTAAAACCCTAAACCCTAAACCCCTAAACCCTAGGCCCTACGCCCTACACCCTTTAAGGTGAGGCTGGAGCGCCAGCTGCAGTTTTTTGACGCGGTCTCCGGGCCGCTGCGTCCCAAGACCAGGAGGCTTCACCTGGAAGTCTCCTAAAGAGCCCAATACACCTTAATTAAGGAATAGACAGGGTTCCTCTGAGGGTTCCTTTAAGGGCTCCTTTAAGGGTTTTTATAGGGTTTAAGACACCTTAATTAAGGAAATTCCCTCTTAATTGAGGGTTCCTTTAAAGGCTCCTTTAAGGGGCTTCTAAGGGGTGTTATGGGGCCCATATACCCCTGAATTGAGGAATAGACCTTAATTAAGGAATAGAGAGGGTTCCTCTAAGGGTTCCTTTAAGGGCTCCTTTAAGGGTTTTATAGGGTTTAAGACACCTTACTTAAGGAAATTACCCCCTTTAATTGAGGGTTCCTTTAAAGGCTCCTTTAAGGGGCTTCTAAGGGGTGTTATGGGGCCCATATACCCCTGAATTGAGGAATAGACCTTAATTAAGGAATAGGGTTTAGAGTTTAGGGTTTAGGGTTAAGGGTTCCTTTAAGGGCTCCTTTAAGGGTTGTTTTCGGGTTTAAGACCCCTCAATTAAGGAATATAGCTTAAATTATAGGGGCCTTAATATCATGATTTAAAGTATATTCCTCAATTAAGGGGTAGGGGGTCTTAGCGTTTAGGGTTTCAGGGTTTAGGGTTTCAGGGTTGAG